TCTATACTGAAGATCAAATGGCCAGCTGATCAGAAAGAATAAGTAACTAGAAACTCTGCCTGGGGACAAACCAAGCAAGAACCGACCGCTCAACAAATATGCAGGAGAAAAAGGAGATGGATCGGACATACATTGAGGAGACCAACGCATGATGTCGCGCGACAGGCCCTCGAGTAGAATCCAAGTGGCAAGCGACGAGTGGGTCGTCCTAGGATGAAATGGAGGAGATCGTGTGTCGAGGAGGAGATGAGTGATTATGATCAGTCGTCGACCCAGCTGAAAAGGATGGCAGAAAATAGAAGAAGGCGGAGATGTGTTGTTGAAGCCTTATGTTCCACTAGGAACCCAGGAGAATAATAACAGATAATAATTACTTTTGGCTTTAACTGAAATCCTAGGTTGCACGCGCTTTTGAATAACAGCCTACTATCCTCAAGCAAATCGTATGGTAGAAAGTCCACACTGACAGCTGAAGGCTGGATTATCAGCCACGGAAACTGTACATTGGACTGAATCACCACTGTTAGTTCTCCTATGCACACGAAATGCCTTGAAAACTAATGCTGGTTGTACTACTGCTGAGCTAGTATTACACAGCACAACACTACGATTGCCAGGCGAATTTCTCCCGCTCTCGAGCTCCCCACTACCTGTAGATCACGCCTCGTATATAAAGTCACTAAATGTATGACTAAATTCTTTGTCCTGCACGAAAATGAGCTCACACGACTCTGTTAGTATCGACCGTCTGAAACCGACCTACTCAGAGTGATATCCCATCAACCTAGAACTGAGCGTTCCGAATAATGCACAGGTAACTGAATACGCGTTAGTTGTCAAAAAAATCACTAGCACGACAAAAACAACCAAATCTTCTTTCGAGACTCAAACGAAAACGTGTTCTAGAGGAATCGTGAGATTCTGAGAACACCTTCATATTCATCTCACATAGAGAAATTAACTACACCCATCCAATTCTTTTAAAATCAATCTATCGCACTGTGGTACATTTTTTCACGCCTATACACTCGTTCGCATTGCATCCCACATCATAAGTTAGGTGTTTTTTATGACTGTTCAAGCAACATCCGCAGCAACAGAAATTTATCTTATTCAGTGATCTCTTCTTCGAATTATTTTCCCTATGGTAGAGTTATGCCCTTATTCATCCATTATTTTTTGCTATATTTTCCCCGACAAGGTTCTCAGCATTCTTGTTTTCTTTTCTAGGTGTGACGGGCACTGGACAAGAAGCAAACGAAGCATGAGGTCCGACGGATGAACATCTACAAAGGTAATCTATCAAGCCTATCGGAAGAGTTTTACTAGTGGTGCCACCATTAGCCTTTTGCTTCCGCCTGATTTCGTCTTAGGGTCTTCACAACTCCACTAGGTGGGGCGATGGAGTGAGCTGTAGCGGTAGGTAATTCCCCAAGATTATTAGTTACAGCATTCATCACTCAACATTGGATGTTGACCGCCGCCATTTAAGTCGGCTTGCCTAGCTGAAGGCTCACGGTCAAGCATCAACGTCATTTGGCATGCCGTCGTGTTACGTTCGGTTGTTCGTGCACAATCCCTGGCTAGTTAGGCAATCAACCTCGCACTACGATTTGGTCCAGAAATACACTTCGCAATTTTCATCGCCAATTGTGGTGTTTCGCTTTGTCTTTGGTCTAGGCCGAACGAATACTATAGAAGGTGTGGATACAATATCTTGCACTACCATACTTACTACTATCCGCGAACATCAACACCCTCAACCTCTAAAAACGGTTCGAACCTGATTTGTGTCCAAAAAGAAGCAGGTATCATTGTTTTCTCGCTGCAGAAACTGTTACATGCTGGCTGGTAGACACTACCGTTCATCTCTAAACGCTTAGACTTCACTTAACATTGATAGGGCACTTTCCATAGTGAGCTACTCACTGAATACTTAGCAGCGAAGCATTTCAGGCATATGAATGAGGGGACCACCTTTTCAATAAATACCGAACACAAGTCCTCAATGTCAGCTACGTATGCTAGTCACAACAAATATCATCCTCGAGATATACAGAACCCTGAAGGAGTGAGCTATCTTCATGTTTAGATGGATGGAGTGCTTGAGACAAGGGTCGCGATACTTGAAGTACTCACCTCATTCACCAGTTTTGCAGGAATCTCGAGAGAATTGTGTCTACAATCGTGGACCAAATATTATTAAAGTGGTAGAACGCTCAGTCTGATTCAAAGTCACTCTGTGGTGTGTTGAGTAATAAATACAGTGAAAAATTCTTCAAACAGTGGTTGCTTTAGTGATACAACTGCTAGTGTCCACATACCCCTGATTTATATTTACTCTGGCTAAATGGGGCTATGATCGCCTTTGAAGCGGTCAAGGTGTGTGAGAAACCATCTTATTTTTATTTATATCATGCTTGTCAGTTCTATAGGTTTCCATGGATAACATTTTGTAACACAAGAAAACAGTTTAGGAAATAAGGCCTTTATAAGAGACTGCTGGGATGGTATTTGCTTTGTTTCGTTGCTACACAATTCAGTATTATATGCGCTTTTTAGGAGTGAATTAGATCCGTGGAGAAAGTGGAGCAGAAATCCACCTCACTTGCTGAGAAGTGTGATGTCGCTTGGCAAGAGTGGTAAAACTGACTTTCTGCAACAGCTGAATGTTTACGAAAATAAAATTGATGGTGTTTCTGGTTCTAGTTCACTAATTAAGTTTGATGTTGGACATTTAAAGAGAAAGAGAAGAAAGGAGATTTCCTTCATCGTAGCCAAATTTAAGATATCCTGTGACACATTTTTCATTCGAAACTGATCTGGTATTTGTCTTGACTAGAAAATCTTAGACGACTTGTCGCAGTTCAGATCATACTGGTGTCGAAAGCATTTCGATTGGAGAGTAGCTGTTGTATGAATTCGATGTCTAGTCTCGAGAAATGCTTTAGGTGTATTTTGCTTAGTTCGACGTGTCAAACATTTTGCATTCTTTAACCTGTTATCTATCGACCAAATAGTCACATTACGTTTTCTAAAGGGAACCCACTAGTTACCTTACAAATCAGCATTTAAACCATTAAAGGGTAAATAAGTTGAATATGACAGTTTGAACCAAGTAAAATACACATAAAGCATTTCTTACTTACTCGTGACTAGAAATCGAATTCATACATCAACAACTCTTCAATTCAAATGCTTTCGACACCACTACATTCTCAGCTGCGACAAGTTGCCTAAGATACCTTGAAGTCAATTCAGGACAAATGCCAGATCACTTTCAAATGAAAACTGTATCTCTAACGAAAGAGAAGAAATCTGTGTAAAAGCAGTGTTCCGGAGACTTGACCTCGTCTGTCATGTTGATGAAATTAATGTGATATGATATGTGCATATGATTCCACTAGATGTTTCTTCTCTATTTGTTATCGATGTGGTTACATTGACTCGAAAAACATAAATACGAGAATGCCAACTAATTATCTGAAACAACTATTACTGAAGTGCACGTTTAATCTGCATTTTAGATTTGATGACGTCATCTGTAAACATAAGGAGTGAGTCACAGTCCGGTCTCCTTCAGGACCTCTCCCAGAGGTTGTCTTCGATATCATAATTACTCGGAAGAATCCCAGAAAGCCAAAACACGATTTTTATGGATGTTTTACTGTGTAAGTCACATCATCTTCAGCATAATCAATCGGATCTTATCCATCGAAAGAAATTATCTTGAGTCTGCATATGCATACGAGATATATGGACGATACCTACTATCTGTCATGACAACGGTTCAGATGCTAAACTCTCCAGAAAATGTAATCGTCGTCAGTCGTTTATGCTTCTCACAATAGAAGAAAAGTCGATTTCCACATTTCACTTCTTAGATGTTACGCTAGATAGAAGAGAGTGGGACATACTGCAAAAAATCGACCTGCTGACAGTATGATCTTCACAGGAAAGTACACTAATGACAACAGTTGGATACCCCTAGGTAGAAAGAGAAGTCTTTTTCATTCTCTAAGCTCCAGAATTCGGGAGATTCGCTCCCCAAATACGGTCGATAAAGAGCTGGAAAACATTCGAACAACACTCTAAATTAATAGATATCCAAGAAGGTATATTGGAGAAAGAAACATGAGGAAAGAAACCACTCCTTGTCAAATCACAATGTCAAAGAAAATTGTATCCATGAGTTTGGCATTCAATGATGACACAAGTGCTGAAGGGATTAAAAACCATCTATCAAAGCTTCCTTCCATGCCGTTGACCCACACTTAGTAATCTCCAGTAGAAGTGCCTGTGCCCATCTGTATGTTCGTCTGCTCTTTCACGTGCTCCTGTGGAGCTGGTCATATTGGATGTTGTAAGCTTGTTCCCCGCAAACGCCTAACTGAACACGATTCATTTCGCTTGGTGAAAGGATAGAATAAGATGACGGAGTTTCCCACTTATGGAACACCTTTTGTTATCAGGTGATTCACACCCACGAGATTTATTATTTAAGGTTATCTACATAGTCAAGTCCAGTCAATCTAAAAGTTGACGTTTTTTTCCACTTATGTATAGCTGAAGCTCTAACTTTACACGAACAGAAACCTAAACTATGTATTCAAAATCATTTTGTTAAGCCCCTTTCTTTACCTTCATCATAGTAGTGTTCTTTTCATTTCATTTATTCTCTTTTACCACTTGAATTCATTTCACTTCACTTCATCTTCGCCGTCTTTAATGTTATCATAATCATCACACTTTTCATTTAATTTTTTTTTGACATTTTGCCTACTTTGATATCTGAATACCAATTCACTTATTCGATAATCTCTGAAAATCTTCTAATTCACCCACTTCAACTCTAAATCCCTTAAATAACAGGTTAATTGTCTTTATTCTTAACATCATATGCATATTGACTGAGCAGTGTTCATTGCAACCTCAAGTCTTTTACCGTAATAGAAATACAACTATACAGATTGAAAATGAAGTCATCAAAAAGAAAGATTTCTTCGTTGAACAAAAACTGTATTTCTCTTTATAAGATAAATGAGTATATTTCGTGATTTTAGACAATGGCTGTATGAATCCACTGAGTCGCTTATACAAAACTCTGTAAACGAACTCGATACAAATGAATAAGTCATAAATATGTACTACAGTGCTTGCACCTCAGAGCTGTAATCTTTTGCTCTCCCCGAATTCCGAACTTTGTCTTAGTCCTCCAGTGCTCCAGGGTATATCAACGGTAGTCATTTACTCAGTATGGGATCTCCTCTATTTAATATGAAGACAAAAGCTGTCCTTCAAGTTCTAAGCGTCCTTGCATATTTTCGTATCGAAAGCGGAAATCATTCGTGGAGGTGGACTGGGTCGTGGATCACGTGACAAATGTATACCTAAATCACCTGAGTCGACTGATAACAAACTGACGCTAATATATTTACCTGATTTTTGCTGTTTTTATCTGAAATCAAATACACTATTGTATAAATAAGACGCATCACAAGTGCACTATCCCACCTTATATAGATCACGTGTAGTAATTAGTGTATAAAATGGGTTTGTCACTCACTAGTATGGCGTTCGGAATTCAGCTTCACACTTTCCCTTGAACCTATAGATGGAAACAATAAATAGACGAATACATATGAAGAATTATTGATGTATCAAAGTATATAGCTGTTCTACCGAACACAAGTAACAAGGCTGACACGGTACAACTGTTGAAATAATGGAACGTGGTTCCAAATACTACGAAGGCTATAATTACAGCACCGCAAAGTCTCATCAGTCACGCCGATCATTTACCTCGACGTCTAACTTCCTGAGGCAACCATCGATTGTAAAATGATTCCCATTGGTTTCAAGTTTAATATAAATAAAAAAGCTTCTAGAAAACCTACGCAGTATATTCTAATCTTTCTTTCTCTCTCTCTCTCTCTCTATTACACTACTCAGTGGACAGTCAAAGTGATGCACTTCCGCATATTTACAGCACTGAAGTAAATACACACGTGTGAAACTGTCTCCAATTCCAGACCGGTGCATACCGGTTTGAACTACTCTTGTCACAGTCCATACTGGAACAAAAAGTATTCTCAAGAACTTGTAAAGTCTTTCAGACAAATAAATGTGTAAGCCTACAGTTTTAAGGTGGATGATCAGCCTAGAAAACTTATAAGATTCACTGAAGGGAAACTTCCCTTCTCGATGACATTAGATTAAAGCTTTCCTAGTTTGCTAATTCAACACACGCAACAATATTCATATGGTGAGTATCTATCTATGAAGGCAACATCTAGAAAAGATATATGATCTTGTGTTAGTCGTTTGTATTTGGAAGGTGAAGTACCATATGATAACTTGAAGTTGCAATTAATGTAGTTATTCCGTAGGAGGAAGCGAAATGAAGTGATAGAACATGTTGACCACTTCACCTATTTGGGAAGTTGTATTAGCACCAACGGACTGATTGGTGACGAAATCTCAATCTCAACATGGATCCAAAAAGCTCGAGCTGCTTTCGCTGACTTACACCACCTCTGGCGTAGGCGTGACATCCGGCTATCAACCAAGGGACGTGTGTACTGCTCAGTAGATCGCTCCGTCCTTCTCTATGGCTCTGAAACATGGCCAATACGCGTTGAAGACATGAAAAGGTTGACTGCTTTCGATCATACATGTCTGCGATCTCTGTCTCACGTTAGGTGGTTTAACAAGTAATGTTGACGTTAGGCGTAGAGTGTTGGGCAAACAGGGAAAATCAATCGACAAGGCTATAAAGTTACATAGATTGAGATGGCTAGGTCACGTCACGTGGTGCGCATGCCTAACCATCGCCTCCCTCGACGGGCATTACTAGCTGATATAGGTGCAGGTTGGAAAAGGGTAAGTGGTGGCCAAACAAAAACATGGCATCAATCCATGAAATCCTTGACAGTTAAACTGAGTCAGGTAGGGAGATTCGGACTTCCGGGTTGGGGCCCTCGGGACTCTAGGAATCAATGGCTGGAGACAATAGGTGAAATGGCTCAAAATCGTTGTCAATGGCGCAGATGTATTCAGTCTCTGTAATCTTTCATATTCCTTTCTATCATTACCCATTCTGTTTCACTCTCATACTTGTGAAACTCTATTAATTCTCTCCACTGATCTTCTTGCCTACCTTTGTGTGCTATTTGGAACGTGGGAACTCGAACTGCTGCACTTCGGTGCCAAGTTCTATGTTGAATCCAGACAGACAGACGCCGGTACGAAAGAAATTTAGTGAAGACCCTCAGCCACAGAGTTAGAGCTATATGCTCAGAAGAAGTAATTTAAGATGAATTAAGCATTGTATATGATACTTTGATCGAAAATAGCTATCCCGAAAAATTTATCAAGAAACACATGACAAAGAAAGCGGAAAAGGACTACTCACTATCTGTAAACAAGAAGCCACTTTATATACGACTGGAATTCAAGGGCGGTATACCAAATGAGATAATTACGAGGAAATTAAGAAAATCAGTTCGAAGAACTCTTAATGCTAGGAAACTACATGTCTTATTCTCTACACGATCGATGGTGATTGTTCGACTGAAATATGAAGTACCTAGACTTGCCACTTCAAATTGTATCTACCAATTCAACTGCGCTTGTGGAAAGAGTTACATTGGCCGTTGCTCGAGGAACTTGATTTTTCGTGCTCGAGGACATCTCCCAGTATGGCTAAGTAAAGGTGTAGTAAAAACCATTAACAGTTCGATATTGGACCATCTGGTGCAAACCGGTCACAAAGCCAGCCAGCGTGGAAGAATCCTTCTCTATAATCTACCGGGTGCCTAATAAATTGCCAAAATCATCGAAGCACCGCATGCTACAAACAGCAGAGGCTATTGCGATTCGCCTCAAACAACCAGTGCTCTGTGTTCAAAAGAAGCAATTCCAGCCCCTACTGCTATCCTGGCCTTCAGTAGAGACTATAAATTCATGAATTTATATTATCTTTCCTAATTTTTCCGACATTCAGTTTATTTTATCTTGATGCTATTGAGCTGTAATCTATCAATATTATTGATTCGATGTTATTTAAACATTAATGTTGTTTATAACACTAATTCAGTCATTCGCTATTATGTATATATAACTGTGGAGCCTGATAATGAAGTTATCGAAAAGAGTACTCTTTGTTCAGTATCCATTCTTTTGAAAATAACTTATTTCCAAACAACCAAGCGATACAACATGAAATCAAACATAGATGCAGGTATTATTTCTCGGACCTCGTGGACACCTTGATACATTCCATACCCTATATTGATTTTCGCCCTTTCATCCACCTCCAATTATTTATAAATGAAGAGTGTTTCTTTGAATATCTTATGATTCATAACCCCTAAAGTCATTCTGAATCCATTGGAAAGATAAACAAATTTGCACTCCACTAGAAAATATCCTCCCAATGTAGCATCAGGCACTTCAGTTAAAGAAGGGAAACTTGAAATAACGACATAATACGATGTCTGTGTGCTATGCTATGCAACGCCACCGAAACACATTCCCTATGTGATGACTTTGGACACACACACACAGACGAACAAACAGACAACCCGACCGCTCAAATCAGCGTGAATAAAGTAAAATTCCAGCTTCTGAGTTCATGGGAATCTAAGTGACTAGATTAACAGACAACGAAACAACTGAAAACATCAATGCTTTAATTTGCTAACACTTCTATACAAGAGAAACGAAACACATCAAATTCAAAAAGTGAACTTATGCCATCACAAAATGATCAAAACATCCCACTTTCTCTGAATGCTTTACGCAGAAATGTAACCCGGTATTTAAATTGAAGTCTGCAATCATACGGATAAGACTCACTTTTCTTTATTATCCCAGCCATAGACGCTGTTATTTGGGAGTATCCATTGCATGCTATAATAACAAGGAACTGATAGAAATATTTTACTATGTCATGTCGTGTCCTGATTATTTTAACGTACACCACAATGCATATGTGAAAAAAGCTCGCGAAAGATATTTGTAATTTCAAGCTATAACTGAAAATAACACAAACAATGGAGCAATTTAGTAAACTGATAACCACAAGCATACTCTACATATAAATTTAACTCAAATGAAAACATAAATTCTGAACAGAATATGGGGTACGAATCTTCTTACCTGAAATTGGAAATCATCAGTTAGCTAACGTCAAATCAACAGTTTTAATACATCAGTCATTAGTAGATTTCAGACGTTGAAGGTTAGAGACAAGACAAGATCTGAAACTTATCGCCCAATTTCTTCTAAGCAGTACGACGAGACCTCCAAGTATATGGGTTCGTCAGTTTGTTTCCGTGTGATTCGAACAGCTGGTTCTGTCATAACACTGGGCACGTAATGGCCGACGCTCATCGATCTCGTTGAGTGTCCAACGAATAGATCCACAACCGGACGGCTTGTACATTCGAAGTTGTAATATATACCGGCTATTCCAGCACCCTTTTCCATATCTAATGAAAGATATTTTGAATTTAGAAAATCATCAATCAGAGATGACTTGACTACTTCGGGAACAGAGATTGACGAACCGCTGAATCGTTCGGCACAACGCTGGGCCAGCTGGGTCCTTACTAACTGTTCGCCTATGCCAGAAGTGACAGTACCGATTCGGGAATACAAACTGAGTTCCTCTGCCCAGCAACCACAACCGTATGTACATGCCTGACCAATACGACCCTCGTATTTTACTGCAATACCACCGCTTGACGCCGCAGAGGCAATGTTCCCTTCCAAGTCGACGCATACAGCACCGACGGTGTCAGAGCTGGATTTGTTCTCTTCACTGGAATAACTACACCCAGGCATACAATCGGTAATATTCGCATTCCCATTTGTCTCGTCACCATTGTTTAACCAACTTGTGTATTTTTTCCACAATAATTTTGAAGTTGTAGTGGTAAGATCACATGTATCAATAAAGTGTCCTTTCGAAGCTGCCCAGTCATGAACCCCATCACCGAAAAGTAAAGATGGCTGGACACGTCCATTTTCCCCCAAAGGGTGGCCAATCTGCGACTGTAGAAGAAGTCTTGCAACTTTTACAGGATTTCTTACATTTCGGACGGCACCGATCCCAGCAAACCAATGGGTAGAACTACTCATTATGCCTGCGTCACACTCGACAAACCCATTTATAGTTAAATTACTCCCAATTCCCGCATTGGTTAATGGACAGTCTTCTAAATAAGCAACAGTAGCCTCTACGGCATCCACAGCGTTCTTATGTTCAACAGACAGCAGCTCCGCAGCAAGTAAACAGGCTTCAAAACATAATTTATTATATTTCTCTTCGTTAGATTTTGATTGGTATCCTGCACCCGAATGCACAATAACACAAACCATGATATAGCACTACGAAATTATTCTGTTGAAGCTTCTAAAATTAAACAAAAATAGTAGTAGATAGTAAGAAAGCATGTGGAACAATCGTGTAAATATGCATACAATCGAAAATAGAGTAAGTGAGGAATAATTTCCCCGCCAACTATTCAGAATCATCACTCTGAATCACTGATATTCAAACTGAATTAAATTCTTCAGATAAATTTTATTTCAATTCACACATAATTAATTCATGCATGATTAATTACAAAACATTCCACTGTAATGATCAATTTACACATCTGTATATATAGATACATAAAAAGCAATTTCAAAACAGATGGATTTCGCAACCCTTGTAAAAATAGTGCTCATGACCACATTCACTTATTGGAGAAAAAGGGAATACATCACCAGAACAACCAAGACATGCCATTCATAGCATCGCCTAAGTAATAACACCTCAAAAAGATAATTCTAAACTACATCGACAATAAAGAAAATCACTTTTATCTATTTGGTTTGTGAGAATGACATTTCACAGTCAACCTCCTTTAATCACATCAAAACCAACACCGTTGTCTCTCGCTTAAATTTGAGAGGGAAAAGAACAAGAAGTTCAGCGAAAATATCTCTCAGAAATGGGGGTGGTATTCCGATGGTTAGATTCTTGTCACTTATATATTTGCAAAGGAAACAAATTGTCTGTGAGAGGCACATTCGTAAATAGAGATTCTACGTCCAGTGATAACATTTGTTTGCCATTTACATTCAAGTCTTTTATGCATTCAATAAACTCAAAAGTATCTCGGAGAGAGTACTTACAGAGTTGTTATCTCACAGTCCTAGCATTTTGGACATCCATTTGGCAATCGGATGGTATGGTGATCCCACCATGTCTAAAATTGGTCGAAGTGGCAGACCTGCTTTGGTAGACCGTAGAGTCAAGGAATAATTGATCCTCCTGGTCTCAGACGTTCAAATAGGTCGTCATTCATGAAGCAGTCGCTCTCCATCTTCCTAAAGACATCTGTCAGTTGCTGTTCCATCAGTTCTGTCTTAATCTTCTCATTGTCTGGTTTTGAAAATTTACTATCAACAGAGCCACTAAGCGCCTACATGGACTTGTTACCACAAAAACCTAAGCAGTATTATGAACCAATACCTTAGCATACACCAACTCACGTAATATTACAAAATATTCAGGTATCAGACATATGTGTTGCACAGCAGTTCTTTTCGTTAGCCTCTATGCTTGAGATATCCCTGATGAAAGAACCTAGAGGAAAGTTTCAGGTTTCTCACAAGTTTCTCCGCTTCATTGGTCGCTCTAGATGAAGCGACATAGTAGGTAGTGTTGCAGTAAAACATAAATTCTTAGGTAAGACGAGATCAATCGGTGAGGTGATGAATGTATACCAATCAACGTGTCTGAGACATTTGATACACTTATCGAGTCATCGACGTCTTCATTGAGAAACGTCAGCTGAAATGCAATTCGGTTGAAAAAATCGTGGGATCGTGAGGTTGAAGGTGATGCCAATCCATTCAGCCCTAGAGCCTGAGATATTGAGTGTTGCTTAGCTAGAGCCCTCAGACTTATGATGAATTGTCTTCTTATGACTTTAGAAATTCTGAATACTTTCGTGATCTCATTTTAATAATGGTCTCTTGCACATATAATGTAATCCAACTTCTGTCCCCTTTCCATGTTTTCGGAAGTGAAACAATCTAAAGAATTTATTAAGGCATCTGCAGTTTTACCATATAAGGAGGGGACATCTGAAATCCTACGTAGGATTCTTAATAAAGCAGGAATTAGGGTGGCATTAAAACCCACAAACCCACTCAGGGTCAAGCTCTGTAGGTCAAAGGACCCCGTTGATCCAATTAGACAGAATAATGTAATTTACAAAATACCTTGAACTACATAAGTCAAACCAGTAGATCGATGGTAGTCAGGTTGTCAGAACATAAGAATTCAGCTAGGTTTAGAATGATTGACCCCGTGAAGATAAGTAATTCCGAAAAAGGCTCAGCAATGGCACTGCATGCACTAACACACAACCCCACAATAGGGTGACAGAGGGTTAAAATTCCAAAAAGCAATGCAGATAGGTGGCGAGAGAGGTTGATTACTGAATCTCTGTTCCTAGAATCCACACCCAACACGTGCAATAGGAATGACTCATTGTTCATAACAGAAATATGGAAAATATTACTACCAGTCAAATCAAGAGATGAGAAATAGTGGAACCGTATGAATGAAGTTGGAAAGTTGTGTCAATAACTTTATATGATTATGAGCAATAAATTGTGCTCAAAACGTTGTAATCAGTAAATATTCCTGCATAACACTGTGACACTTTGTCAAAATAAATTCCATCCAAAATGGGATTATACGCCACCACAGTGCACAAGTCCTATTCTTTTATCCTCACCAAAGGGCAAGATGTAGTATTTGACAAGACCTCAATAGTGAGAATGATATGCCATTTCTTTCGAGACATAATCGGCTTCAACACTTGTCACACAAATCATGACTCATTCGGCTATTACTGGAGCAATATTTTTTCGGACAACGCTCAAGGTAGGAAGAGCGGTGTGACAATAGAAGCCACTGCACAGTTCCACTACCATAAAAATGGAGGTCTTGTTTATTACATTGTCAGAACCTTGTAGTCGAATGCAAACAATGTCTCTCCTGAAGTGGAGTTTGCGGAAAACTGATTTAATAATGTAGTGGTTCCAGATTTAATGTAACTTAGCGTTGTGAAATTGGAGGACACCAAGCTATTATTAGAAATCATCGCAGTACACAGTGATGAGAATGATTTCATTTTGGGGCAGATACATACAGTTCGAGTGTTGGGTTAGAACGACCCAGATTTGTCCAGTCAGCATTGACTTTAGGTGCACTGCTGACATTTTGGGTAGACTTCGGGTGCAATTCAGACAACCGTCTTAATTTCTCCAATGAGCCTGGAGATTTTGCCTTGAAATGTCTACAGTGGGCCTTAAGAAAATGCTAGCTGGATAAGTTTTCGGCTACAGGTGGCTTGCACCGCTTAACTATTGCTTTTATCCATTCACTGCATGCACCCCAAATCTTAATTACACAGAATCGGAAAAGTTAAACTATCATAGCCAAAACCCCAGTGGCCTTGAAAAACCAATCGAAATTCAGGTGCAAAAAGCCGCATAATCGTCAGAAAATACACTAGAAATGTTGCAGTTTTGATACTACACTGTATAGTTGCAGCTTATGTGTTGCAAGAATGTCTCTCAGTTACCATACAGATGATCATTCAGATATCATACCATGCCCAATAAATGCATTCATCCAGGTGACTGTAGGTCGTGTTGCTTTGAGATCCATTGACAATTCTAACACTGTTCTCCAATCTACCCTTAACTCCAACTATAATCCTAACTTTAATCCCAAACCTAGGTTCATGTTAGCTAACATTAACCCTGGACCCTAAACCTTAGTCTTAAAAGCCACAACTCTACCTGACAGTGTAGATTTGCAGAAAAAGTACCTAATAAATAAGAATAATACTGTATCTATCCTCTCAATGTCCAAAAAGGCAGACGTGATTTGATTTGGAGTGATATCACTCCATATATATTTCATAACATCCTATGCGTCTGATTGGTTCCTGATGGTCAACCTTTGAAAGACCTTGACATTCGCTGTGCTACTTCAACTTAGTCAAAGAACCAAACAAAAATTCGACCGTTTCTACACCAGCCCAGTATCTACCAACTGACGTGGAATTCAGAAACACGACGAACAGAATCCTACCTGAAGTCCGCGCAACCAATATTGAAAGTGTTCGGTCACGCACCTCCAGTCGACTTAAACAACCGACTTCAACACCCTACAAGGAATAATGGTGGGGCTGAAAAGTAGTAATTTTGGCGGCTAATTCATGTACGGTGACCTTGTTTCAAACACGAACACAGTCACAGATCTCGGGATAACATACTCAGATCTTACTTTTACTGAACATGTAAATAAGGTAGTATCTGATTGTAAACGTCTAACCGGCTTTGTGCTACGCAACTTTTACACTCCAGAAGCCAAATTAGCTATGTACAAGATATCCATTCGCCCCAAACTTGAATACTGTGCCCACTTATGCAGTAGCTTTAAATCAGTAGACAGAAAAAGGTTGAAGGCGTCCAAAGACTCCTCACGAAACGCATATTAGGCTATGATCAGCAAATAGAATACCTTGACAGATGTATTCAACTGGACTTAGAACCCTTATGGTTAAGGAGAATGAAGTGCAATTTATTGTTTATTCTGCATCTCTTATTTATCACGTCAGCACCTGTACAGAAATGCTACTTACCTACCCCAACTAACGCAATCATCTATTATTCCCGCGTGAAATTGACAAGTATTTTTGGCAGCCTGTCGACGTGTAAGGCACACAGACCACAAACACGACGGGTGGAGAAGAAGGCAAAGACGGTACGGAGGAAGCGTTTATTTAAAGGAAGCCGGACTCAAATTACCCGGGTACAAGTTAGTTATCATCATTTATAACAAGCTTTGATAACTGGTCCTCCTCTTGCTCCAATGATGCCACATCACCGTTTCTTTCTGAAAAAGAGAAAAAAGAAACTTGTTTAGTGGCATTGTATCGGTTTCCATTGCATTACATCGCCTCCTCCCTTCTGGAGGCACTGTCCTCAGTGCCCGGTGGTGGTGTAGGGTATGCAACACCTCCATCGGGCGGCACCTCGACGTAGCTGGTTGCGGGTTTTTTTTTTTTTTTTGGAGACGGTTCCGTGACGGCTGCTGGATGATGTGGTTTCAGTTGATTATAATGTGCTGTGACTAGCTTCGCTTGAGGCCGTTGCAGATGCCGCAGGACATATGTAGTCGGGGGTCGATGCCGGACGATCTCATAGGGTCCTTGCCAGGGAGCGTAGAATTTGGGGCAGGAACCGGCCGGAACAGATGGTCGATGAAGCCAGACGTAATCGCCAAGCGAGTAAGTGGGGCC